AAAAATAAATCATAAAAGACTTAAATTTAAGATCATATTTCAGATTCTTGAGGTAGTTCCTCATGGTGTTGTTTAGGCACAGAGAGAACAAACTCAATGAAGTCTAACTGAGCCAGCCACAGCAAACAGAAGCTACTGTGCTGCTACTGCAGCAGCATGGTGTTAAAAAGTAAACCTTTATTCATGCTCTTAGTCTCTTACAGGCCTGAAGGACGTAAAGACTTTCTCCAACACCTCCAGCAGAGTCTTCTTCCCGCAAGAGGAAATGTAGTCCTGGGCCAGCTGCAGAAAGGGAAGGCAGTCCTCGCTCTCGCTCCAAACATGCTGCACGCACACAGGCAAACTCTGATTAATGACACGCCTCCCATCAAGCACAATTTTAACTGCAACATGATATTAATAAGGTAGAGGGTTAGAACGGGTCACTAGCACAGATACTGAGTTCATGTAAATCCTGAATCTGCATTATCTACAATAATACCTACAATGTCTTGATAGATAACCTTTTTTTTTATTCTTAAATGCACCTTTACTTCATAATCACCACCCCTGTGTTTTAATTGATGCTTTTACTCTTAAAGATATATTGGAGGATGTCCTTTTTCTGGGTGGATCATAAAAATAAGTGGTCCTCCTTATTGTCAATTATTCTGGTGATATTTTTACATAAGGCCATCCTGCGTGCCCATTTTCAGTGTCTGACATAGTGAAAAAATTGCAAACAAGCTTGTATGAGCGATGCAAACAACTTTTAAACAGAGCGTGCACGAGGAGAAATGAGCTTGTGCATGCTCTCGCACACGTTTTAATACTGGTAGTTGTTCCCTCTCAGGAGCAGGTACAGGGTTGTGCATGTGCATTTTTTTAAGTGCAATTCATGAAAATCCCCCACTATACCTTTAATGTAAAATATGTAACTTTTTGTTGTTTTTGCCTCTCTTCTTATCCATATACAGCTGATTATAAATGTATTATTACACCTTAAACATGTTAAGGATAAAGACTTCATTTTATTTCTAACACAAAGTGGAGGATAATTGTGAAGCGAAGGGCAAGAGATCCAAAGTTTCAAGAATTAAAATCTAATAAATATGACATTAGTAATCAGTCCCTTCTTATACGTAATAATGAAAACCAGAGCTAAGATTTACTTCCATCAGATACATTTTTGAGCAGAGTCCTCGCCTTTCTGTCTGCTTCATATTTTGTCCCAATAGCCATGTTTGAAACACAGTGAAAAAGTGGAAAAAAGGTTCTCTGGTGTAATTAGACCAAACTTTTCAACTTTTTAAACACTGCAACCTGCAGAAAACATTTCAGCTGTAAACAATAGTGGCAGCATCATTACTTTCTTAAGCATGGCCGAGGAAACTGAGTTTAGTTGATTGGTAACTGGATGGATTGTAAATGCTAAAAGGTAACTTGTTAAAGGCAGAATCAGGCTAAGAAGTGGGGCGGAGTTTAGCCTCCCAGCAGGACGATGACCCAAAACATAGAGCAGGAACTGCAAAGGAAGACTTGAAAATCAATGTTCACAGGTGCTCTCTGTCCAACCTGAGTAAGCTAAATATATTTAGCATAGAAGAACGTGAAAATATTTCTGTCTCAAGATGTTCTGCAATTCTTTAATTCTGCTTCTCTGCTGGGAGATGTGACCCCTTCCAATAAACACAAGGAATCTGCACTAACCACAGATATCAGATCCAAGAGTACCGAGATGATTAAACCAAGCTTCCCTTTGCTTAGTAGACTTTCCTTTAATCAGAGTCTAAAGGCCAGACTGTTAGGTTATCTATTATCAATGGTATTAAGGTGTCCAGTCACGCTTGCAGGAGAAACTATGGCACAGGTTACCCAGTGCTGAAAACGTCTGAGGGCTTTTATTCTGACACACAGTAGGCCAGAAGGAAGACTTAAAATATGCTCCTCTAAGACCATTTAGTATCACCTGTTATAATAAAAAATAAATATTTCATTGCGTATTAATTATCATAAAGAATAAATATCAAAATGTAATCCATGACTGTATATTACTCATTGTCTAACCTTTTGTTGATGTTTAGCTCTGATGATACAGCCCAACACAGTAATAAACAGAGCACCGACTGGAACAAGATAAAGAGTTAAAGACAAATAAACCTTCTATATTTTAACCTTTCTTCACATTTATGGATCACATATATAATTAAGATCAAGACAACATTTTCTAATCTTTATTAGACAGTTTTTACATGTGTTGATTCTAAAGAGAAATTAGTTCTGGTCACCTTAAAATAGCATAGAATGATTCTATCTAATATATCGTGTCAAATTTAAATGTCTTAGGGGTAAAATCGAGTCGAAATTTTCAGCTTTTATATATCGTAGAAAAGCATACGGTTGGGTTTTTGTGAAAATGAGGTAGTGCCTTTTTGAGTGGCCTTAAAATGTTGTTTTTTTTCTCCATAAATCACAATGAACTACAATGTGTAAAAGGTTAATAATGACATTTCTGAGAGAATAAATGCGTTTATATTCTTTCTGTTATATCACTCCTCTGCATCCGATCCGTCCCAGACTTGGGATCCTACTGTAATCTACATCCAGCAGCTAATTTTATTTTTGGCTTTGGATTTGTACTGTAGTAATTTAAAGTTTTATTTTTCAAATTCTTTTATAATACATCATTAAAATAAAGACACAACTAAAATACAGATAGGCACAATGTACTCAGATTATGCTCTGAGCATATCCCATTACTACATCGACAATCAATATAATGGACAGAATGTAAAACATTCAATTCTCTCAGAAAAGTCTTTAATAATTTTATACGATGTAGTTTAGCCTTCGTTGATGTTTTAAGGATATGAATAATTACTTTCAGCAGTTTAATTATATTATTTATGGCAACCTGGATGAATTTCATGCATGTGTGTTATGGCTCAGGCAGCATCTCCATAATTTCCCATTAATGCCAAATGACCTGCCTATATCACAATTATTTTTTTCCAATACGTCTGCACTGCTTTTGATCATCTTTAAGTCCAAAATACCTATAATAATAAAATTTTAACAAGATATTTTGTCACTGAAAAGAGTTTCTTTACATTCAAGTATCAGAATAATCAGATCTGTTAGGGAAAATATAACAATGGAGCATTTTAAGATTTTTGAATAGGGATTTTAGCAGAAGTGGTGTTTTGGTGAGGTTCCACCAATGGGATTTCTATGTAGGGCTTCATATCATTTTGCATGGGCTCTGATGTCAAGAGGCCAGTGACAGGTTGCTATTGCAGCAAGTTTGAGACTGCACAGCTGTGAACTCTGACTGTTTGGCTGTGCATGTAGGAGAGGATGAGTACATGAGACGACGAGCTGCACAGACATCTGACATGGATTAGATTACAGAGAAGGAGAGGACTGTAAGTCAGCAGGGAGGACTTAAAGAGTAAGGAGAAGACTACAGAGGAAAGTGATAGATATCATACAAAGGATGTGCTGTTGTTTAGTTTGCTTTTTGATTACAATCTGCTTCTTTAACAGTGTTTGATAATGCAGACAAATGATTCAGCTACATTACATCAGCCGCAATCTACAAGTCCCACTGTGGTCCTGCTCTGCTGTCTGTGGGAGCGTCCAGACGAGGTGTGCAAACACAAAAGAGGCACGGTCTGTGTGACATAATGTGTTATTGACTGAACAGACGTCCCGACTCCTGGGTCATCTCCATCTGCTCCCGCCCTATTGGCCATGTCAGAGAGCGGGGGAGCAGGAGGAGGAGGGAGAGCAGATTGGGCTTCTGGGACTTTAGGACTCATAACTCCACCACTGCATCACATGGCTGTAGGATAAAGCAAGCTCTTAGAAAACCGTTTGTGCCTGATCCAAGCTGTGCTGCATTTACCACTAGGATATTTAGCTTATAGAAGATTTGTGCATCAAGAACATATTTTGAAAGCAGTCTAACATCAAGGCTTCTTCTTATGTGCTACTGGCAATGAGTTCAAGGAAGCATCTGATATGAATCTATACTTACGTTTTCGCAAATCTCACTTGTTTTGATGTATTTGATGATAAAATACATCAAAACAAGCTTTCATTAAGCTATAGGCAAATATATCTCATGAGAACTGGATTACATGAAGTAATTATTTCACCAATCATGAGACTAGCAATGAAATCGATTAGATTCTATTTATGAAGAGCTTTACAACAACAGACTGATTGATGTGCTGTGCAAAATTAAATAAAATTAGAAAATAGTAATAATAAGGAGAAAAAAAAAGGAAAAAAGCAGATAAAATACAGACATATAAGTGGAATAAAAAAATCTGTCTTTCTTTCTGGTTGTTTGTCTGTCTATATCTTTCTATATCTATCTATCTATCTATCTATCTATCTATCTATCTATCTATCTATCTATCTATCTATCTATCTATCTATCTATCTATCTA